TTTTCGAACATGATAATGGAAATTTTCTAAAAGCTGTCGAGATGATTGCGTCTTTTGATTCAGTGATGAGACAGCACGTTAGCCGAGTGTGTAACTCCCAAAAAAAATCTGTGAAAATGACTCATTATTTAGGCGTGCAAATACAGAATGAAATAATTGAATTATTGTCGTCTAAAGTAAGAAATAATATTTTAGAAATGATTCGCAGTTCAAAATATTTCTCAATAATATTAGATTGTACACCAGACACTAGTCATACTGAGCAAATTAGTCTTGTTCTGAGGTATGTTGTCCTTAACACCACTTCAAAAAAGGTTGAAGTTAAGGAAAGTTTTATTGCGTTTAATCCAATATTGGACTCTACAGGGGAAGGTATATATACATTTGTGACAGAAATTTTGAAAAAATTAAATTTAGATATAAAAAATATCAGGGGCCAAGGTTATGATAATGGGGCAAACATGAAGGGAAAGCATGTTGGGCTTCAAAAACGAATTCTTGATGCAAATCCGAGAGCCCTTTTTGTACCTTGTGCGGCGCATACTTTGAACTTAACAGTAAATGACGCTTCTAAGGTGTCAGATGCTACAATAAACTTTTTCAATCTTGTGCAAGAGTTGTATAATTTTTTTTCGTCATCTACAAAAAGGTGGGATATTATGAGAAAAAATGTCCCCGGGTTAAGTTTAAAGCCTCTAAGTGAAACAAGATGGTCCGCCAGAATTGATTCAATAAAGCCCCTTAAACTTTATTTAATTAAGGTTTGCGAAAGTCTTCTATATGTAGCTGAAGATAATTCCTTCCACATCGATGCAAGACATAAAGCGAGTTCCCTCTTAACGTCTGTACAAAAATTTCAATTTATTTGTGGAATTATTATTTGGCATGACGTTTTATTTCATATAAATATTGTCAGCAAACAAATGCAAAGTGCTACAATTAATATTAAAGTATGCCAAACCTACCTAAAAAATTTAATTGATCACTTCCAGCAATATAGATCTGACCAATCATTTGAAGAAATTCTTGTACAAGCGAAAGAAGTAGCACGCTCTCTCGAAATTGAAGAAGACTTTCCACCGTTACCATCGGTCAGGAGGAAATTTAAACCAAAACTGTTTGACTATGAACATCGAGATGAGACCCCTCATGATCCAAAAACCGCCTTTAAAATTAGTTTTTTCTTAAAAATTATAGATCAAACTTTAAGCTCTCTAAAAAACCGATTTAACTTATTAAATGAGTATGATAATATTTTCGGATTTTTTAGCGACATATTCAAATTAAGTGACAGCGATCTTTTAGAACGTTGTTCTGTTCTTGAAAAACGACTGACAGATCAGGATAATATGGATATAGACTCCAATGATTTGTTTAATGAAATTAAAGCGTTAAAGTTGTTTTCATTACCTGATGATACTGACCCCTCAAGTATTTTACAATATATATTTGAGAACAATTTAATCTCCACCTTTCCAAACGTCAGCATTTCACTAAGAATTCTTCTGACATTACCTGTATCTGTAGCTTCTGGCGAGCGATCTTTTTCAAAGTTAAAAATCATTAAAAATTATTTAAGATCGACAATGCTTCAAGAAAGATTGTCTGGGCTAGCGATATTAGCAATTGAACATGAAATTTTTGATGGTATTAATTTTAGCGATGTAATTGATGAATTTGCAACAGCAAAGTCTCGGAAAATATCGCTACTACAATAGCTATTATTTTTCTATTGTACCTAGCTATCATTTTTGATTTTATAACGAAGTTATCTAGATATTTTTTATCAGAAGTATCTGCATATTGCTTTTTTTTCTCAAATATTAGTAGAAAGTAGTATTTATATATAGGTATGTAGACATTAGGCAATATTTCTATTATTTGTTCCTGAAAAAGATGTGATTTTTAGTTTTGGGTTATTTTCTAGTATTTATAAACAACGTGTCTGTACCCCATTAGTTAAGTAATTGCTTTAAAATGGTTGTGAATAAGAATATTTCTATTATTTGTTCCTGAAAAAGATGTGATTTTTGGTTTTGGGTTATTTTCTAGTATTTATAAACAACGTGTCTGTACCCCATTAGTTAAGTAAATGCTTTAAAATGGGTGTGAATAAGAATTTATTTTGTTATGATTTTATTATGTTTGTTTCATTTTGATATTTAGTCTACGAATAAATATGACTTCTAAAGTTCAGTTTTTTGCTTTATTTCAAGCACCTACCTACCTACCTATAGGGCTGTCATCCGTCCGGATTTTCCCGGATTTAAGAATTACGAGACGTATATGTCCTGTGAAAAGCCAATACAGAAATTTAAATTGCAGTGGTACTTTCAGTTAAGTTGGTTCCAAAAGCTTAAAATAAACGATTTTGGGCGTGGCACCCAAGAAAAATTTTTCGCCTACGGCGGGCTTCAGCCTCCTGCGACATCTGCGGCAGGCGACTTTATGATGTCCAGGTTTGAGTGTTCAAAGTTGGGGTTTTTGAAATTTTTGTCCTAGGTGGCAAAATTGACATCACCCTACCTACCTTCAAAAAAATTAATAAAAAAACATGATCCAAAATGCCTTAAGGGGCGCCAAAATCCTTTTTTGCACACAGGCGCCAGTAGGCCTTACGGGGGCCCTGTCCAGTGTCATATGGCATTTATAGGCAACTTTTCAATGAAATGAATTTGTCATTCAAATTGCCCCATAATGATACATGCAATACCTGTGATACGTTCTCTTTACAGTTTAAACTTGCTAGTACAGAAGATCAGAAGGCAATACAGACTGAGTGGGATAAACATAAAGACATGGCTGACAAACATTATCTGGCTAAGTCCAACGATAAGGAGAACGCAAAAATCGACAAATCAATGAAAACAATTTCATTTGATCTTCAGCAAGTACTAGCAACTCCACATATTCAAACGAATGTTATATTTTATAAACGTCAGCTATCTGTATATAATTTGACGATTTATGATGGGGTCGAAGGGATTGCCAACAATTTCCTATGGGATGAAACAAAAGCTGGTCGAGGTGCAAATCAAATCGGATCTTGTTTATTTAAATATTTAACAGAATTACCTCCGGAAGTAACGCAAGTGGTCATGTACTCGGATACCTGCACGGGTCAGAATCGGAATTCTCATATAGCCGCCATGTGCTTTTCAGCCTTACAGAAAAACCCAAATTTGAAATCAATTGACCACAAATTTATGGTTAGTGGTCATTCTCATATGGAATGCGATACAGCTCATGCCATGATTGAGAAGAAGAAAAAACGAACGGATATGAGGATCCATCACCCTTGGGACTGGGCTCAACTCATTCGCACTGTTGGAACAAAAAATAAGTTCTTAGTTACAGAAATGCAACAAGAAAATTTTTTGGACTTCAAATCATTTTATTCCCAAAAACTGCAGATTAAAAGTAAAAACTGTGACAATGAAAAATTTGTATGGCATGATGTGCAGTGGATGAGATTCACAGCTGACCAGATTGGTATAATTGATTACAAAACATCCATAGATGCTTCGGAACCGTTTAAAAAGATGTCCTTTTTACGAAGACGTCAAGTAAATCCAGTTTTGGACGCTCCGCGTCAGTACTCGAAATTACTTCCCATTTCTGAGGAAAAAAAGAAAGATCTCTTAAGCATTCTACACCTGATAGATCCTGTATTTCACCATTATTATGCGAATCTACCAGTCTCATCAAGTCGCGGAGACGAGCAAAATAGTTCTGATGAAGATGAAAACTAAAACTCTTTGAGGCCATGCCTATTCTCATTATTATCCTGTAATTTCGTTACTATTTTTTTTTTTGTGAACAGCAAGTACTTAATTAATTTTTTTTGAAATAAAGTTTTCCCTATAAATATTGTTCTATTTCCTGAGAAAAACTGCCTAACTCTTAATTTGACGTTGGGTCATTTTGCTTAAGTCAATCTAACTATTGCTGTGGTAAATTATAGATCTATCTAAAAACATATAAAGACATCTATAGTGCCAGTAATGGTACTGACAAAATAATGACATACATAATTATAATTCCAACAATTTTTACATTCTCTTGAAACATGAGTAAAATTTAATTTGTCATTTACCTGAAACTGTGATTTTTGACTTAGGGACTTTTACCCTAAAACCACAGAATTATTGATTTAAGATTATTTCGGAAGAGTACGCTCAGGCCCTGCGATCTCTCATTGCCAGTTATAAACCACATAATAACTCTTTTCCGATTTTCTAGATGTCGCTGACAACCACAGAATTTTCAAAATTGTAAAATACCAGCACATCAAGAACACGTCCGATGTCGATAACTGACATGTCAATATATTACAATATGCCAAAATATTCATCATAACTAATAATTCATAATGTTTTTTGTTCGCCGGTCTTGTATTTCATCGTTCTTTGTGTTGTCAAGTGTTCTTAAGTGATTTCAAAGTTGTTTTGTGTGTTTCAAGAAGAACTTCAAACTTTATAGATTGGAAGATCTATTTTTATCTTTGTTGATTAGATAAATGACAGGTTCAATTAAACATCAATCAGAACTTTGAATAAATATGTTAAGGATACCCTTAACCATTGATAAAGAAACTGTCTTTTGATCTAATTAATAAATTATCAATCAATTTAAGGAAACATTGATGCCCCAAAGTCTAGAATAAACGAATTTGAACAAACCGAGAGTAATGCGAACATGGCGCCATCTATCATAAAAAGTCCTATGTAAAGTAGGTGTCTGTAGCATCGATGTAAAACCAGTAAATAGTGATTTTCCGATATGGTAGATGGCGCTGGCTAGGCTCAATTTTGTTGACAACAAAATTTACACTGAGATTCCATTCTCGACAGTTTATATAGTATTTATCTCTGAGTACGCTGGATAAACAACCGATTTAAATACTTGAAAATGTTTGATAACAGTATCAACTATCATAATTAAATCTTCATAATCTAAGAATAAAAATCGATTTTCATTGGTTTTTGAGTTTCAATAGTGTTTGGTTGATAGCCGAAAACGATAATGAGTGAACCCTCCAAAGTGAAGCTGGGGATTAAATATGAAGGCAATAAAGGTAGGTCATTTGTTGTATTATCTTGTAAAGATATATTAGTATATTATGATATAAGTGTATAAGAGGGCCTTTAAAGCACGTGCGACATACCTATTTCAAAACACGACGCGCAGCGGAGTGTTTTGTAAGTCCCAAGGGCTACGCGTCGTTCGGTGAACGGCAGCCGCGTGCGGAAAAATTCATTTTCCGCACTTGTTAGGTAAATAGCTATTTATGCACGCTGCAACGTGCGATAATCGTTGATTATGATGCATGCGTAATATAAAATATTTTTTTTACTACTAACCTGAGAAGTAGTCATTATTCAATATATTTTTCTCAGAAAAAATTGAATTTCTCTCCCTAGGTTAATAATGAAAATAATGAAAAAAAATCTAGGTCAATAATGAAAATGACGTCATGACGCAAGGATATTGTCATAACGTTACAGGTTTCTATTGATTTAATTTCAATTTCAAACTCTCAATTTAATCAAAAAAACAGGTTCCTGTATGTATCATAGGAAATTACCATAGATGTTGATAGAGGGCAGCACTTTCAACTAGAAAAAATAATTTGAGCTCAGATTTCAAACTTATTTTTTATTTTCTACTATAGCAGTAGTAAAAAAAATTCTATATATTCCACGGTAGAGAAAGTCATTATATACCTTACGCATTATAAACCTCGGCGCTACGCGCCTCGGTTTATAAAAGCGTTCAGTATATAATGACCAACTTCTCTACCTAGGTATATAATGTACTATTATATTACGCATGCGCCTGCCTACCTTTTCAAACGTTTGCTATAGAAACGTTTGATCTACCTTCATTACCTTGATATTCACCTGCCTTTTAAATTACTGTTCATCAAAATGAATGAACACATTTAAAACATTTTTGAGATTATGATGCATTTGTAATATAAAATAGCGTATGATATGCGTGTATAAGAGGCCTTTAAAGGCCCTCTTATACACTTATATCATAATATACTATTAATAGATATCATGAAAATCACTAAATAAACATAACATAAAATACTATATACCGGGTGACCACGAGATTACTGACCAAGCTCTAGTTCAGGCATGAATATCAATATCGATTTCAAGTTTTGAGGATGTATATTATTGATATCGATGCAGAATTTCGCTATAAAAACAATCGACTATCGCTTCTGGTTTGACCGCAAGTGCCATCAACTTCTTTATTTCAACTAGATCACCCCCTATATTATTACATTTTGGATTCTATGAGAAATTCTAAGCATATTTTATGTATAATATCCTATACCTAACTTTAAGAGTTTTCAAGAAAATCGCGATTGAAAATTTCAAAAAATAATTTTTATTTTAGTTTTGACAGCAAACAATGGAAAGAAGGTTGAAGCTTTTACGATATTTTTAACTCATTTTAGAAGCACCAAAGGGTCCCACAACAAAAATAAAACTTCCGGTTCAATCGAAGGTTTTCGGTCGATCTACTTTTGAGGTTATGTTACTGCAATAATTTCAATGGTATACCATACTTAGAACTAAAAATTCGTATTCTAAGAACAATTTTGAATCTTTTTTGTGTACGCTTTCCTATACCTAAAGTCTACTGTTTTTGAGATATTTGACACTTGATGTAAGGATGTCTTCGGAACAACGAATACCAAAAACAGTATAGCATTAATTTTAATCCTTTTTATAAATTTATTCAAATAGACAGCTGCAATCACACAGAATGCAGGTTAAAAGATAAGTCTCATTTGTTGTGTTCCTTGAATCCCGATTTGCACTGTAACATTACAAATACAACAAACAAAACCTTACATCAACTGTCAAATATCTCAAAAACAGTAGACTTTAGGTATAGGAAAGCGTATACAAAAAAGATTCAAAATTGTTCTTAGAATACGAATTTTTAGTTCTAAGTATGGTATACCATTGAAATTATTGCAGTAACATAACCTCAAAAGTAGATCGACCGAAAACCTTCGATTGAACCGGAACTGATATTTTTGTGGTGGGACCCTTTAGTGCTTCTAAAATGAGTCAAAAATATCGTAAAAGTTCCAACCTACATTGTTTGCTGTCAAAACTAAAATAGAAATTATTTTTTGACATTTTCAATCGCGATTTTCTTGAAAACTGTTTAAGTTAGGTATAGGATATTATACATAAAATATGCTTAGAATTTCTCATAGAATCCAAAAATGTAATAATATAGGGGTGATCTAGTTGAAATAAAGAAGTTGATGGCACTTGCGGTCAAACCAAAAGCGATAGTCGATTGTTTTTATAGCGAAATAATTCTGCATCGATATCAATAATATACATCCTCAAAACTTGAAATCGATATTGATATTCATGCCTGAACTAGAGCTTGGTCAGTAATCTCGTGGTCACCCGGTATAATACCAATACGTATAGTCCTAGCGGTAAGCAAAAAAAAAAAAAAATGTGGTACAAGCATGAAATTTGGCATAGTTGAATTTTTTTAAGCAAACTATTTCACTAGAGTGTTTCACACTGGCAAAATGTCATAAGAACGGCCGATTTCCTACTGACAAAACTCCTACCTGTTCCTGCCTGGACCTGGACAAAACCAACATGATGGTTTTTCAGCGACTATTTCACTGGAGTGTATTACACCGGTTATACTGTACATTATTCCCATATGACACGAGAGGCTTAACAAGTGATAAGCCTTTTGGGATTATCGCGCTTGGTGGCATTTATGGCAAATTATATTATAGATTTTTATCAAAATTTCAATTAAAGTTTAGTTCGTTGTATAACCTTTTGAACACCACTCGATGTTTCAGGATTACCTAATACTTTTACCTGACACTCAAAGCGTTACCAGCAACACCACTCCTCCTTCGGAGTCGTGATGTTGCTGCGTAACGCGTTTCGTGACAGGTAAAAGTATTATCCGGTAATCCTGAAACCTCTTGTGGTATTACATTCGACAATAAATTCGGTATTCAGCTGAAAATATTGCTACATGGACAATACCAACAACATGGTATTTCAGCGACCATTTTTTGACATTGTCAAACTGATATTTTTAATTTGAAGTTTCTATTCTTGCATTCTATTTATTTTCAAAATCTTACGTGAAATAGTCATGACGAATACCACTCAAGAAAAAATTATGTAGGCAAAATTATTATTCCCTTGGTTTTATTCAAGTTTGTTGCGTATTAGTAATTTCGCTCATCAAAAATGTCATTCGCGAAATTGCCAAGCAACAAACTTTCATACCAGTCGAAAATTTTGCCAACCAAATTTTTTCTCTTGTGGTATTATACAGGGTTAGTAAAAAGTACTGCAACACTTAAATATCTTCAATTCACTACACAATTCGGAATCTGACAGTTTTCGGACATGCGGAATTCAACAGTGTTATTGGCAATGTTGCCAGATTTCCCAGTTTTACGCTACACGTAGTCTTTTTGTTATCTTAAATAGAATTCCCCATTTATTTTTATTGTAATGAATTGGGCGTGCCAAATTTAATAAGACTTCAAGTTTTCAGAATTCTATCTCTACTAGTTGTTGAAATATCACAACACCGTATTTTCAGTGAAAAGTATCGCAACGCTTGAATATCTTCAAACGCCGCTTAAGCACGTTTACGAAATTTGGTATCTGGGGGTTTTTGAACAAGTGAAATTTAACCGTGATATCGGCAATAATCGGCATTGTTGCCAAATTTCCCAGTTTTGCCCTACAAGTAGTCTTTTTGTTTTTTTTTTTTTTATCTTGAATGCCCCATTTATTTTTATAGCAATAAATTGGACGTGTCAAATTTGATAGGATTCCAAATTTTCAGAATCCTATCTCCACTAGTTGCTGAAATATGCCAACACCGCATTTTCAATGAACGGTATCGCAACGCTTAAATATCTTTGAAAGCCCGCTTAAGCTCGTCCACTAAATCGGCATTGTTGCCAAGTTTCCTCGTTTCGCGCTACAGTAGAGACATCAAATTTGGCACTTCCAATTTATTTCAATAAAAATAAATGGGGCATTCCTTTCATAATGACAAAAAAACTACGTGTAGCGCAAAACTGAAAAGTCTGGCAACAATGCCGATATCACGGTTAAATTTTGCTTGCCCAAAAACCCCCAGATAAACTCTGTCTAACCAACGTTGAACGTTGAAGGTCACTTACTCATCCTTGTAACCATATAATTCACACGTTGGGACCTATTTTGGTTTGATAAACACAGTGCGCGTACAATAAAGACAGCAGCAAAAAGCAACGTCTGTGATATATTCGAATAAGTGACCTTCAACGTTCAACTTTGGTTAGACAGGCTACCAAATTTCGTAAACGTGCTTAAGCGGCGTTCGAAGATATTCAAGTGTTGCTATACTTTTCACCGAAAACAAGGTGTTGTCATATTTCAGCAACTAGTAGAGATAGAATTCTGCATGTTTGGAATCTTATCAAATTTGGCACGCCCAATTCATTGCAATAAAAATAAATGGAGCATTCTATTTAAGATAACAAAAAACTACGTGTAACGCAAAACTGGAAAATCTGGCAGCATTGCCAATAGCACTGTTGAATTCCGCATGCCTGAAAACTGCCAGATTCCGAATTGTGTGAACGCGGCTTTCATATACTTAACCATTAGCCCAGGGTCGATCTGAAACTTTATGTAGGAGCCCATGAAAAAATTAGAGACAAGCTGAAATTTGGTACCTATATATTGTCCGTCGATTATAATCTGATACTCGGACGGAATGTGAGCTGGGTGGCTCCCTACATTAGAACTCCAATGGTTACCTGACGTCACACCTGTTTTTGCCATATGAAACACCCCCTCGCTCCTCATACGAAAAGTGTCAGCTAAAAATCGACGAACAATAAGTTTGTATTGGTTCCTTAATAAACCACCAAACCCTACCGGTAATCGGCCGTGCCTGTGACCCCTAAACAATCAAGGAATGGAAATCGGACTCTTTTTAGTTTTTTGGCAATATGTATCTCATCAAAAACAATATATTGTGTGTTTA